GTTCCAGCTCTATCCAGGAGTATACAAGAGGTGCTATATCACCATTGTTTCTTAAAGCTGAACAGTACTCCATGGTATAAATGTACGACATTTTATTTGAGCAGGGGAGTGACTGACATGTTTAAAGGATCACTCCAGTTGTTGTGTTGAGTAGAGAACCTACCAGAATAGAAGCAGGGAGGAGGAGGCAGTCGACTCTAGGTGAGAGAAGTGGCTCGGGTGAAATCCTCCAGCGTGATCTGATCTAGATGAGATTTCTAGAACATCTTTTCTGTCTCTCTGTTCCATTTCACTTGGATAACTTGCGCTTGGGGCATGTGAGAGTGATTCATTATATAGCTCCCCTCTTCCTTGCTCTACTTGGGAGCAAAATGATAATTAAGTCAGGAGTCAGCAATTAGAGAACCAAATATAACCTTTATTACAGATAGAGGCTAGGTTGGAGAATACAGTTTAGTGTGAGAGCAAAAATGAGCATGCTAACTCCTTATCCTCTAATCTAAGCCTTGGGACTGTGGGGGTGATGGGGAACTTGCTCTTTCCCTTGAAAGTTCTCTGAAAGATCAACGCAAAATTAAGGCAGATTAATAAAAGAAAGAGGTTTATTTATTTGTGCACAGGGAGACTCACAGAGCGATTACCCAATGGGATCCAGATATTTTTATACCTGCCTTTTAGAGGGGAGGGGAAGATGAGGAGTATAGGTAATTGTGTTTAGGGGCAATAAATGTTGTTAGGGAGGATGAATAGATACCTGGGAGAGTGAATGCATGAGGGGAAACAGATTGACTTGTAAATTAATCTGAGAGGCGGGTATTGTGTTTAAAATGATTTGGGCGAGGTGTGATTGCATGCTTGATTTTTTTTTCTGCAATATAGTGAGATAAAGGGAAGGGAAGTCCGTTGTTCTTTTGATGAGTCAGTCCAGTTTATGCAGATATAGGGAAAGCCCCTTCCAATGCCTTTTATTTCCAAGGACCGTTAATTCAAAATATTCTTTATACCAAGAGTCATATTTTGGGGTGAAATCCTGAGCTCCTTCA